ACCAGTTAACACTTTCAAAAATCTTCATATAATAAATTTAAACATTTCTTAAGACAATACCAAAATAGTGTGCTTAGAGATTAGACCAATTTCTAGTCGTATGTGCAATAGAGTGTGGATCTATATCGCGATTGCTTGAATCTTTAATGCCCATTTTTTTGCTCGTTATTTTAGCGTGCGGCCCTTTTTCATAACATTTGTTCGTGAAATCATTCGTCAAGTTGTCAAGTTTTCCACAAGAAAGGTAGTGGATACCTAATGAAAGTGACTATTATATCTCTATTTTAATATACCTAACTATTGCATTTATGCCAGTTGTTTTTTCGATACAACACCCTCCACTGTTATATGTAAATAGAACAACGGATTACATAAAATTTAGCACCTTCATATGTTCACACATTGATGTTGTATGAACTTGCGACCCGTTTATGTTATAATTCTTACTTAATAAAGTAAGCAATGACAGGAAGTCTCAGTATTTGCACATGCCTAAGTAAGAGTGAAGCCTTTAATTGATTTTATCTCACAATTTTAGATGCACATCCAAACTGAGGTGTGCGCCTTTATTTATAGCTTATACCCAGCAAAGAAATTTCAAACTAGTCGGAAAATTACTGGATTACAACTACAAAGTTTCAACAGGAATTGAACTAGTGCGACAACTAGCGAACTTGAAGCAATCGTACGGTAGCTCGTAAATGAGTATTTTTTCTTAACTTCAAAGACTTAAGGCAGCCTTTCAGATGTGCGGTTTTAGTCCACAATTAAACTGTATTATAATATTTATATTTTCACGGTAAGAAGCTGGTGTATCTCAGGCGCATTGCCATGTACAAAAAACAGTTATCTGTGGTTCGCATCAGCAATAACTACTAATGATTAACCCCTCATACTCAAATACAAATAATGAAAGTGACTATTATTTGTAAGAACAATTGAATGCTCTTCGAACGTCCGATAATATAAAAGTTCGAACGAGAGTTTCAGCATTTCAACTATGCTTTCATCAAGAAAAGTTTCCAATTCCAGTTTCAGGAATGATTGGTAATCAATTAACTACCCATTTAAATAACTATTACAAAACGAAAGTATTCACATATTATATTTGTAAATATTAGCTGTAAAACGGATATACTGATTTCCTTTAAATAAAGTTCAGTTGTTTATTCACTCATTTGTTTGCCCAGCTATTTCCCTCTTAGCTGTGGGCAAAGAGTTTTCACTTTATGTGTTTTTGGTAAGTAAACACTACACTCGTTTATGTATATACATATGTGTACATTGGCACTTCTAATCTGTAATTTTCGCCAAGTGCCAATATTCGAAAATGATGTTTAAATATATGTAATATTTTACTGGAGACTTGCATGCTGCGATCAGACTCAAACGTACAAAAGTGACAATTTGAGGAGCTCACAGCAGACTATTGGTGAAATTGAGGGATTATTTGTACCTGCGATAGCTTAGCAGCTATCGTAGCACTAAGCTCGAAGGTGCAATAAAACTATCTTCCGCATGGAAACCCGCAAATCGCCAAGGGTATTGTTATCATGAAAAAACCCCAAAAAAATGTTGTAGTTACGTTAATAGTAATAGTTTATTTAAAAAAGTTATTTGAATATTCCGCATAACTAATAATTACATAGCCGCTAAGAACTTCTCCGAGCTGTTCAATACCAAACGAGGTTTCAAACAAGGCAACTCCCTTTCGTGCGACTTCTTCAATCTAATCTTGGAGATAATAATTCGAGCCGCAGAAATAAATAGAGAAGGTACCATCTTCTATAAGAGTGCACAGCTGCTGGCGTATGCCGATGGTATTGATAACATTGGTCTCAACATCTGCGCCTTTAGTTCTGCTTTCTCCAGAATGGATAAGGAAGCAAACCAAATGGGTCTGGTAGTGAACGAAGGCAAGACGAACTATCTCCTGGGCAAAAAATTGCTGAAGCACTAGAACACCACAAACGTAAGGAAAACGAAGAACAAGGAAACAAAGCAGTGAGAGAAGAACTGTCCTGGAGGTAAGCAATATTACAAGATCAACAAAATTCAAAGAATCCGAAACGGAAAAAAACCTGGACAAATAATGAGTTTTTACGAAATGAATTCTAAATCACGAAAAAAATTTATTAATAAAAGCAGGCATTATTGGAGACCTAGGGTATTACCTAGAGTACTACCTACATTATGACAAGTTTCTTCTTCCATTTACTTAATCAGAACGTAGCGAACCGATTAATGTTTCCTCCGCTCTAAATGATTTGGAACGTTTTGTTGAAAATGAAAAATGGAAGACTGGTATTTAATCCAAACTTATTGATCATTGAATAATAAAATTACAAAAATACATACTCTATATATTATGAAGTTTTTATATAGTGATCTAATTTTTAAGTCCCGAGCTAATTCACTATAGGTAAGTTGGACTGTACTAATAAAAATTCAATGTTCACATCTCATCGTTTATATGAGGTTCTCTTCCCCAAGTGGGATGACAAATGGAGTGATCTGCCAGCTTATTTTAATTAAGATACTTTATTATGTATAAAAAATGGAACATTTTATAACGAAACGATAATTCACTACTGATAAATTTATAAAAGGCAGTGAAACAAAGGAGAGAAAGGAGAATTTTAGGTTATTCCTTAGGAAGTTAAATTGCCTCGAGAATATGTGCGACCCTTCTAATACGGAGTAAGGCGCACGTTTAAAGAAAGTTCTGTGTAGACCAGTGTATGCAAGTGCCAATCGTTGACAAAAATTCTTTGAACATTTTTTAAATCCGCTGGCATAGACGGATGTACGAGTATGTGCATGTGTTCGCATTGTCTAATAGCGCCAAAATTTCTTCGTTAATATTTTGAGCGCGTTTCATTGGATGAGCGGTGTAAGGGATAGACATAGAGAATTAAGTATGGGTTTTTTATTCAAAATTATTAAACGGGATTTTTGATACACAAGAATTTACACGCACGCGTGCAAAAACTTTCCACTTTTCCACTTTTTACAGATACTCATAATCCTATTCAGTAGTTCGCTATGGTTTTCAATAGACACTTACTTGCAATGGCCCATGGTTGGCCACTCAAAATACCCCAAAGCGTACTGTTCAAGTCGTCTCTGCATTGTGCGCTCTCGACTTTAAAAAGACCAGCGAGGAATAGCTGTCGCTCGCTAGGTGTCATCACTGCAGTCTTGTCCTTCCAATAAGGACTCAGCGCTTTTTCCACAAGCTCAACATCACGGTAGTTTTCAGCCGACCAATCCAAACGATCGTTCGGTGCAGCTTCTTTGGTTTTGCGTGGATTTATATCCCCTGCGCTGGTGGCGCTTACAAGGGTGCATAATGCCAGTGGATATACCATGTACATTAGTCGCCTTGGCCCAGGCATGCTTATCACTGTGTATGTGACTAAATTATGAAAACTCATCAACTGGTGTACAGTTATATAGTACACTACTTTAATCACTTTTTATATTCACAAAAAATTCGCACTTAATGTCGTTGTATTTGCACTGCTGTGGTTGTTGTCACAACGGAGTGTCCTTCACTTCCGAATTCAGTCACTTCCAACTAAATTTGAAAACAACACAACACGATTTCTAAACATTCATGCGCCTTTCCTTTCAGAAATATAACGGTCTTTCAGTGGGCGAGTATTACCTGTGCACATAGTACTTATGTACATATATGTGGGTCTTCTGCGCAACCGACCGTACGAACCGCAAATTCAAGATCAACTAAACTTACGACTGTTCGCAACAAACAGTTTAAGCCAAGTTTTTAGCTAACAAACATCGGATCAAGTCGTGTCTACTCCCAATGCTCGGTAGGAGCCGCCGAAGCTTCCAATTAGTGTCGTGCACACTGTCGAGTTACTGAGTTATGCTATACGATATTCAAGCCGGAGGGCTGCTTTCTTCTCTATTATCATTTTTTGGCACGCTTTTTAAATTTATGAAAGCAGTTATTATTTACTGAAGTATATGTCGGGCAAAACACTGCGAGCTAATTAAAAGGAACAGCCATGCATCATTTTAACAATTTTTCCAAGTATCTGAACATTCTCTAATCTGGTGATCTTAGCAAATCTGCGACTGGTAAGGTAGGAAAGTAATTGCTGTTAATAGTATGTATATGATGGTTCTTCCTTTCATTGAGTTTGAAAGTACAGAAGTAAAAAGACAAATTAATAATATTAAAAACAAGCCCAAAATAACACGTTTTAAAAGTAAATGAAATGTATATTTATGGGAACAGCCCTATTCGATTTTAACTATGGTATCGCCTTAAAACCATTATAAAGAATGAATCCGCTGATACTCAATCGTACATACATAAATCCCTGATGTTGATAATTTTAAATTTTGGATTCTTAGCTGACGTTTCGAAATGGTAAAAAATTAGAGATTAATATATTTGTCATATGCTATAAGTAGATAAAAAACTCAGCATATTTGGAAAACAATCAAAAAATTACGAAAAATACGCGACAAGCAATTGAGTCAACTAAATTATAAATTTCGAGCTTCTTAAACTTGTTTACAAATAATTGCCGAGAGATGCCTTCTTGATTTATTGGCTTGAAATACTTATGGTCATCCCGCTTGTTTACCAAATATATCTAATTGCAAATTCATACATTGACACCAACTCTCACCTACGCACACAATTTTCTGGATTTTCTGGTATACACCAAGTGGACATGCAACGCGGGTGGGTGTTAAGTATCTAAGATTTAGATTTGTGCATTCACTTTACATTTGCATGTCTGTCATTCTCTTCATTTTGGTCAAAGAACTTAGGACAGTATACAGTATTTTTTGTACATTTTGTTGTTTTATTATTTTTTCTCTTCAAATACAACATTTCTTAAACGATATTCCGTTTACTTTTATGTTATTTTTATTTTTATATTTATTTTTATCAATGCAATTATAATTT